CAAGCAGTGTACCAGCAGTACTACATCAACAAGATGACCGAACAGCAGGAGAAGATGATGAGCCAGATTGCGGCAGAAGGCACAGAATTGGATGCAACAGGACCCCAGCCGTCACCCTCAACGCCAACTGAGGACTACTTTGCCACACAGGAGCGACAGCAGGTCATCGACCACAAGAAGTGGCTTCAACAAAGTGCAGCGGCTGCAGCACAAGCGCATGCGGCAGCAGCAGCAGTTGGGCAACTACCGATCATCGACACAGGGGCTGCAGAGGTCGCAGCTCGACAAGCAGCGTATCAAGCTCACCTGCAAGAAGCCGCCCATGCTGCAGTGCAGCAGCAAGGAAAGAAAGAAGAACATCATGCAGAGCAACAAGCAGCCCAGCGTGCAGAACAACATGACAATTTCCAGGTCCCTGCAGCCCACCAGCCAATACCCGACGACAACCACGATTTAGAGGCCGACAATTGGGATGAGTTGCAGGCAAAGCGAGTGGAGGAGCGCACCTTGTATGAGGCTCAAGAGGTGACCGACCAGATGGTACGCAAGGTAATCAAAGAGGAGGCCGAGGCCATGATCGCAGAGAACAGTCAACGTATGCAGGAACATGATCATCGGCAGGTACCGGCACCTCAGACGCCAGTGGCACCAGATCCACCAGCGGCGGCATGGGAGGTGGGTCCCCTCCTCAGCGCCAATGTGGATCAAGAGCAGTACGCAGCAGCCCTCAGGATGAGGAACCTCGACGAGCCATCATCAATCCCGACAGAGCAGCCATCGCCATGCTGCTGCACTCCCACGGAAGTGGCGTCACCAACCCAACCTGACAAGCAAGAGGAGATCAGCCCGACTGTGCCGTTCACGCCGAGAGGCCTCAGCACTGAGCATCGTTCCCCTTCGAGAAAAGAAAAAGAAGAAAACATGAACGGCAATCAGCACGGCACCCTGCACTACGACATCGCAAAAGGTGACAGCCCTGTTCGTCCAGGACAACGAGGATCTTCACTACCCCGATTTGGTTCGTTTCGAAGGTACGAGGAGGACAGCGGCAGCAGCGGAGGACCGCAGCCCAGGCAGATTGCCAGGAGGTCGATGCAGCCCTTCGGCAGGACCGCCAACGCGGCGGCCATCAGGAGCAGCTCGGCCCGCTAAGCAGGTCCATTTTGGACCTAATGAATGCATGTACTATAATTCAAAAACTGGAAGCAGTATTTCGCACCTGCGTGAAGCACCACCCGCAGCTCTACGTTATGCCGAGAAGTCTCCAGTCCACACGAAGTCTTCACCATCAGCATCGGATCCCACGACGAGATCTTCGGACTCGACTGGATGTGCAGCTGATGTACTAGCCGCGCCTCACCTTCCTGAGTTTGGGTTTCCAGTTGAGGGTGCAAGATGTGCGCAGGTAGAGTTAGGATCCTTGTTTTCATCAAGTCGCAGCTCATCCCTGCCGCCGTCCTGGAACCCCCCATCGTGGCTCGACCAGGAGAAGAGGCGGCAGAAGCCCGAGAAGTACCAATCCCTCGAGTATGCAGAGCAGCGCACACTGTCTACACCAGCCAGCGTCGGGCAAACCACGCAGGCCCTCGTCTCCAAGCAGACCAAGCTCATCACAGATGCTCGAGCGAGGTTTGCAAAGCAGGTAGAGGACAATACGCAATCGCAGGTACACAAAGCAGACATGACACTGGCACTCACCCTGAAGTGCGAAGCACAGATCCCAGAACCAATCACCAAGCGTCTGGAGGGCAAGAACAAGTGGATCATCCTGCAGGAAACCCCAGAAGGGGCAGAGGTCCACGAGTTCGCCAAATCAGCTGTCTCCTTAACCAAGTTTACAGAGGTGGACCCTACACACTATTTCATCTACACGGACGCCTCTGTACCGAAGATCAAGGAAGCATCCAGCTGGGCTTTGGCGCTTGTTTCACAGAGTGCAGAGAGTTTTCATTTCCATGGGCAGATTGGACACATCGTCAAAGACAGTACCTCCCTGGACATCGATTACGCTCTCCTCGACTCCACGCAGGCAGAATTGGTAGCTATCATTTGGGCGCTGATGCTGGCGTACCAACTCGAGGACACCACGGATACTACCATTCTAACAGACTCGCAAGGAGCTATCGACATTATTACAAGAGCTACCTCCAGGGACGATCCCATTTCAATTCTGGCAATAAGTACATATGATTCAGTGCGAAGAGCGAGGCGAATTACGATTGAACATGTCAAAGGCCACGTTGGACAACCCTGGAACGAACTTTGCGATTCTATTGCCAGGTACCATACAAAGAAATATCTGACAACATCTGAGGTGGTCATCGACCTTGAAGCGGACTGCCCGCTCCCAGTGGCCATTGTGGAGGAACTCAAGGTCACGAAGCACATGCACTGGAGTTTCTTACGTGACACAAATTTTCAGGATGGTAGAGCTTATCCCACAGCAAATGGAGATGGACTGAGTTTCTCATACCAACTCATGCAGGCGGAGAAGGAAGTGGTTATCCAAAAGAACCCGTTACCTGTCAAGCCCGCCCCTGCTGCTACTGAGCAACTTGCAAAGGTCACCCACAAAGCCAAGACCACATTGAACCTGAACCTTGCCACGTACAACGCTCAGAGGACCATCGTAGACGACAAGGAGCAGATGACCTTTGCGACCAGGGAGTGTCGAGGCGCTGTTACCAAACACATCAAGCATCAACGAGGTCAACTCATGAGACTCCAACTGCGTGAGGAAGGAGTACAGATCGCTGGAATCCAGGAGACCACTTTCACGGAGGAATATACCAGTGGAGATGGCTATATGCAGTTCAACTCTCGACAGACCAACTCCAAGCAGGAGAGGCTTGGGGTATCATTACTGATTAGCCACGACGTGCCGTATGCCACCAGCGACCTGAAGGAGCACTTCTTCGAGAAGAAACACGTGAGGATTGTCCATCGATCGGAGAGATTACTAATCGCATGCGTCAGAACACCCATAGTGCACGAGACGATCCATGTGTGGCATGTTCCACATCACGATAAAGGATCCAAGGATGCAGAACGTGTCAAATGGTGGAAGCAGCTTTGGCATCTCAGCCAGAAGTGGCCACCTACTATTGTACTCGCTGATGCAAATGCAACAATTTCGAGCATACCCTCCCCAGGAATAGGGGGACTGGTCCACAGGTGCGATGACAAGGACGATGACAACGCCGAACGCATCAGGGAGTTTGCAAATATTTACAGAGTGCACTTAGTGAACACAATCATTGATCATCAGGAGAAGGCCACGTACACTACAGATGGAGGTCGGCAAAAGCGTATCGACTACATCGCCACGAGCAAGCAGTATCTACAAGGAACAACCAGCGTTGAAACACTACAAGACTTCGATACGGGCAGTATCGCAAAAGATCACGTACCTGTCATAGCGAGATCGAGTCTACTGGTCGAGCCGCGGAGAGGTTCCACAAGCCAGAGAAGGATTGACAGGGTCAAGTTACAAGATCGCCGACGACAACAGCTTTTCTGCGACCATCTAAATACTCTTCCACTGCACAGGTGGGAAACGGATGCAAACAAGCAAATGGACGACATAAATTGTGCAGTGGTCAGTATTGCAGGAGCGATTTTCAAGCCAGATGCACTTACACCAAGGCAGCCATATATCACACGGACGACCATGAAGCTGATCAGGTACCGCAGATTCGTAATGCGGGCCTTGCGGAACGCCATGACCATATCGGATATCACAGCTTGGGACAACTTGAAGAAGTATTCCGAAACAGACGAATTGACCAAGGTCACTGAGCAAGACGCCTGGTTTAAAGAAGCCAGACAGTTGTATATGATCCTGGACCTGTACGACGACGACAGCGGAGGGGAGCTATCAACAGGAGCCCGAGTATTCTTATCACACACCAAGCCAGTACTGACAAAGTTATTACGACAAGACCGAGCAGCACACTTGGAAAAAATAGCCAACGAACTCCAAGGCAGTATTGCTAACCATGACGGCAAGCATGAAGGAGCGGCAACCAGAGCACTCCTACGATATGGCGGAAGGATCCCATCACGATGCTCGAGACGATCACCAGCAGGAGGCCCAGCGCCTTACAACGAGGACGACGATGGAGTAGTGCTCGATGAAGATGAGAAAGTTGCTCGCAGTCGTCTCCTTCACTTCGCCAAACAGGAGGATGCGACACTGTTCAGTACCAGAGAGATAAAGGACCGCTACAATACTGAAATCAACACCGCAGCGATGCACACTAAGTTGGACTTGGACCAAATCCCGCCACTCCCATGGTTGCAGCATAGTTTCAGCAGTGGAAAGTGGGCTACAGCACCAGGCACGGACGGCGTCAGTGCTGGGATCCTGAAGGCGGGTGCTGGACCATTGGCTCGACTGTACCATCCAGTTATGTGCAAGGCGGGATTACTACTGCAGGAGCCACTTTTATTTAAGCATGGCATTGGCATCAGCTTGGCCAAGTCAGCGGATAAGGCGGCATGGAACGAGTATTACAGACTAATCCTCCTCAACAGCGAGGTGTCCAATCACTACCACAAATACCTGCGCAGAAGCATGGCAAGCATGGTCAACATCATGATGCGCGATACCCAGACAGGAGGAAGAGCCAAACGATCGACGGCCATGGCAGGACACACGGTCACTACCTTCCTTCAACTCCTCAAGCAAGATAAAAAATCAGGATTCGTGTACTTCATCGACCTGAGAGCAGCCTTTCACAGAGTTATACGGCAGCTGGGCATAGATACAAATGCATACGATCCAGAACAGCAAGATATAACATATATTATGCAGAACTGCAACATCCCAGACGCTTTGAAGCCGCTTACTCGCTTGGCACTGGAAGCACCGATTCTGATGCAGCACCTAGAAGATCGACCTCACCTAGCTCAACAGTTGGTGGAGACGCATAGGCTGACACATTTTGGCATGACGGATACTGAGGAAGTGGCAGTATCGAGGCGAAGCACGAGACCAGGCAACTCCCTGGCGGACTACCTGTTCAACGTCATCTTCACGAAGCCCCTGGAGTACGCCTCGGAATCCCTCATGGCTCAAGGACTATGCTACCAGGTGCCAGAAAGCGACAGCAGATACCCGAGCCTTTCCAAACACAGGACAGCACAAAGGATATTGACGGATGTATCGTTTGTCGATGACGCATTGTTTGTGGTACAGGCGCGAAATGATACAATGCTGATGGCAATGCGGAAGACAGCCGACACGGTCCATGGAGCGATGATGCTCTACGGTTTCGAGGTCAACTACAAGCGTACCAAGACAGCCATTGTACCATCCATCAGAGGCCCTGGCTCGGGACTAACCAAGAAGCAGGTGTTTGGCAAGTCCCCAGCCACCATCAGTTCCAGAAAATACGGTCTAGTGGTACACGTGGAAGTATGCTACAAGCACTTGGGTACGATTATCGACAAGGACGGCTCAGTGGGCACCCAGGTCGCCAGGAACTTGAATCGGCACCGAGACGCAGCTGGACCAGTACGGAAGTCAATCAACAAATTACTGCAGCTCAGCAGCGAGGCAAAAGTCAAGATAGCTGACACCCACATCAACGTGCACCTAGGGTACCACGCCGAGACTTGGGCAGATGTCAGCAACACCAAGATGAAGTCGCTCGAAGCAGCTTATCAAAAGACATATCGATCAGCACTACGGCTTCACCTCCCTGATGAAGATGGGCAGCGACCACGAACATGCAAAGTGCTATATGAAGCCAAAAAGCCACCGCTCCAAGCAGGAATACGCCTTCGGCGACTCAGATACTTAGTTGCGCTATTGGAGAACGGTCCGACAATATTGCTCGAGATGCTAGACCTCACTTGGGACCCCGAGAAAGACGAGATTGGCTGGGCGGCGCAGCTCAAGCAGGACTTTGCTTGGATCGCAACACATATGAACACAGGCCCAGATGATCCCATACTGCACAGGACCTTGCAGGCTTGGGTTGACATCATAGTGAAGGACCCCGCGGCGTTCAGAAGGTTACTCAAGCAAACATGGGACAGATATCGTGCACATCAACACGACGAACATCATCGACAGGATTGGCAGCAGGCACTGGCAAAGCTACAAGGACAGGAGCCCAAAGATACAGATCAAGTGGGCGTTGGTCAACACAAAGTATACTGCTACATATGTGGACATGAATACGACAACATTGCCACCGTCACTGGACACATCCATCGAGACCACCGTATTATTGACACGGCACAACGTTATGCGGCTGGAACATACTGCCATGCATGCAAAAGCGAACATCATTCCAGACCACGATTATTAGTGCATCTTCGTCGAGTAGCGGAATGTCTAAGGGTGCTCAAGAGCACAATGGAGCCGTTGCCCGATGAAGAGGTACACAAACGCCAAGAGCAAGACAGAGCAACGATCGCAGCACTCAAGCAGCAAGGCTATGGTGCATCCAAGGCAATACAACCAGTCAGAAGGGACGCACCCCAACGTCGGAGAGCACAGCGTCCACAGCAAGAAGAAGGATACGGCCACCATGCCCCAGATGATGAGGTACCTCCTCCACAGCAGCCACCACAACAAGTTCATGTTCCTGGTTCCGTACAGCCCCCTGAGCCCCCTCAAGCACGTCGAGGCTACGACTACCCAGAGGCAGCGTGTGCCGACGAGACCGAAGAGGAGGAGGCAGCTACGCGAATCGCACCGACACACTGGCCTACGTGCAAATATGTACTTCATTTATTCTCAGGCCGAAGAAGGCCAGGGGACTTGCAGGACTGGATAGAGCGACAACAGGACTTCAGCTGTGTGGTACTACAGATCGACGTTGATACTGCTGAGGCTGGAGACCTCACACACTGGAAAAATACTTTCAAATTCGCGAGAATGGTTGCCCAAGGATATATATTGGGCATCCTGGCTGAACCGCCATGCGATACCTGGTGTGGCGCCAAGTATCATCAAGATGAAGGATATGAAGGACCTCCCCCAGTACGCTCATCACAATACCTATGGGGCCTGCCGAACAACGAGATGCGCTACCGACGCAAAGTTATGTTGGACAATCTACGAATGAGAGCATCGATTTTCTTGGCAGCAGCATGTGCAAGGCATTACATCCCAATGCTGATGGTACATCCGAAGAGAAGCTGGCGACCGCAATCACCATCGTGCTGGAGTATCCCAGAGTTACGATCGCTCATGAGATTACCCAATGTATGCACGATCACAATTGACCAATGCACAATGGGATACCCTTCCAAGAGGCCCACTACTATCCTCCAGGTATCGTGCAGCAGTTTCAGCGCCATGGTCAACGAGATGTATGGAGGCGGCCGTTGCAGTCACCAGAGTCATGAAGTCTACACTGGACGCAGCCGCAGAGGAAGTGAGCAAGCTGCCCAGACCAGAGAGATACCAACCGAATTATCTAGATGCATCGCTCAAGCATTCTACACATCCTGGGCGGAACGAGAGTATGCCAGAGGTACGTCTCTGGAACACATCGAGCAGGAGCTGCTCCAGCTGTATGCACCGATGGACCTCGACACCATGGACCATCCCACCAGCGAGGATGCTACCACATGGTACGACGACGAGGTCCAACGCCCAAGTACTGGGACCTGGAGTGCCAGTTCATGTCTCCCGTGGCGCTCCGCGCACGGGCCGCCGCTGCTGCAGGACAACCACGAGGTTTGAGCGGCGCCTGCGGGACCCCCCGGAGGGAGCGGCGGGGGCCCCCAAGGCCCCAATGCCCTTCGGGGGGTCGTCGTTCGTCCCCCTTTCGTCTCCGTCGTGCCTCCAGGTAATGATTTCGACGGCGGCGGCGTCTCCACCCCCCTCTGGGCGCGGCCGCGGGCCGCGGTCGCGTCGGCCGACACGACGCGCGTCGCGCAGCGTTGGCGATGATGATGATGAGGAGGAGGAGGAGGAGGAGGAGGAGGAGGAGGAGGAGGAGGAGGAGGAGGAGGAGGAGAGGAGGAGGAGGAGGAGGAGGAGGAGGAGGAGGAGGAGGAGGAGGAAAAAGAAGAGGAGGAAGAGGAGAAGGAGCAGGAAAAGGAGGAGGAGAAGGAGGAGGAGGATGGATCGATGGACGGCGCTTTGAAAGGTCGGGAGGTGACAGCACCAAAAGCGTTGGGGGGATCGACCCGAATTCAACCGCCCCTGAGGCTTCTGCTTCTTCTTTAGCTCTTTATGCGGGCGGCAATGGCCGCCATACTCTGCTCGAGTGCGGTGGCCGAAGGAGAGTCCGAAACCGCTCGCGGGACCGAGGTAATATACAACTCGGGCGCATCATCCGCTTCGCGCGCAACAGTGAGCTGAGACACAGGCGACGCCTTCTCAAACACAGCTTTTACCTTCATATCGGGGCCGAGCCCTCTGCGGAAACGACTGAGGACATCCAGACCACTACGCGCAGGCTTACCACACACACCTCGGCGAGCTGAAGGGCCCTCCCCTGAGACCAGCCCCCGCAATTCATGCACAGAATCTGCTGCTCACGGCAGGGCCCCAGGACCAGGTCAGACCGAGGAGCTTCAAGAGCCGAGCCCGACACGGCAACGAGCTGGTGCCCAAGGGGGTCACGCAGCAACTGCTGGAGAGCAGGGGGCGGGCCCCTGCAACCGAACATGGCTTGTCGGGTCGATCGCGCAACGTCCAATAATAACGACACTGAATGCCCAGCACGGTTCCCGTCCAGAGATGAGATGCCACATCTTCTGCTGGCGGCTTCGGCCAGCAGGGGTGAAAGAGGCTCGCTTCCATCGGACCTCGTTTTTGAACAGAGGCAAAAGCCCAGAAGCGAGCTTGACAAAAGCGTCGGTTCGTTGTTGATAAAGCTCAACATGATCCCCAAACGTGGGAAGGGGCCGTGGATGGCCCTCAAGGGCCTTCTTGGCATGCTCATCCACAGCACGGTTCGCAAAACCAAACCTACGGTCATTACCTTCCAGGTTCCCAAGGGCGGACAGCCCACGATGAGCCGTCACATGGAAAATGGACAAGAATCCCACCAGCCCTCTGGGCGTAGGTGGTCTAGAACAGATCCTCTTCCACCCCTCCCTCTTCCCCCTTGGGGAGGGGTTTACCCCTCCCCCTACCCCCTCCCCTGGACCTTGACGGAGGGTTCCCCGAGCGGTCGGACGGCTCTTTTGGCCCCAAGATGGTTTCAAGAGCGCGTAGAGACGGCCCCAAGACGGCTCCAAGTGGCCAGCGAGCTCCCCAAGGAGGCCCCGAAGAGGCCAAAATCGTTCCAAAACCTTAGGAAAATCAATGTTGTGTTGCTTTCTCCCCGTTTCGCTTCCGATGGCCATCCAAGGCCTCAAGATGGCTCCAAGATGGCCCAAGAGGGCCCCACAAGAGGCCCAAGAGAGCCCCAAGACGGCCCCAAGAGCGCCCCAAGAGCGCCCCAAGAGGCGATGTTTGGAACTCATGAGGGGGGAAGCTAATAAGGGAACCCCCTTCGTTGATCGATCTCCTCCAAGATGGCCCCAAGAGCGCCCCTACAGCCCCCAAGAGCGCCCCAAGAGCGCCCCAAGAGGCGCCCCAAGAGCGCCCCAAGAGGCGCCCAAGAGGCCTCCAAGAGGCCCCCAAGAGACCCCGCAGACGCCTCAAGAAGATCTCCGAAATGCATTTAAAACGCTTCTGGCTCTTCGGTTCGCCGTCCTCTTCAATTTATCATCCCCCTCTTCCTCCTCCTCCTTCTCCTCCTGCTCCTCCTTCTCCTCCCTCTGCTCCTTCTCGTCCTTCTCGTCCTCCTCGTCCTCTCCCTACTCCACATCCTCCTCCTCATTCTCCTCCTCCTCCTCCTCCTCCTCCTCCTCCTCTTCCTCCCCCTCCCCCTCCGACGAGGATTCCTTCTCCATCCTCCCCTCTTGGGGTACGTGACAGCTTCCCCCGCCCTTTGTTATTCTGCATGCTCCCCCACTTCCCTGATCACCTCAACTCCCCTGGGCATCGTTTCTGGATGCGCTGGTGGGGATACGCGAAGCGTCAACAATTCAGTACTGGCTAGCTCATAAACGAACCGCCGCGCACCATCATACTTATTGGATCCTGCCACTGTTTCCAGAGCGGCCAGCGGGTCTGATAAATCACAGCTTTACAATCCAGGGCCAAGGAGGTGGGCCGATCAGAAACTTGCCCTACAAGTGCCGCGGCAGCATGTTCTGCCATCGCGGGGGTTTGGGGATAGCCCCCCAGGCAAAAAACACCTCAAGATAGCTAAGGGAGCATCGCTGCCTGGCTCCAAAAGGGCAATCGCCCTCGACGCACGATGGAGACAGCGGAGGGCCTGCTTCGTGCAGCTGCCGTCGGAGCCAGGAGGACGAGGAGGAGGAGGAGGAGGAGGAGGAGGAGGGGGAGGAGCGGGGGGCAGGGAGGGAGTCACAAACCGTCCCGCTCTCTCTTCCATACGCAATCATCTCTCTGCTGACCAGACGGTGTGCCCCCATCAGCCAGACGGTGTGCTCCCCTCGCCCATGGCGTTGGCCTCACTGGCCGACTGCGGGCCGAAGCCCAGCCAGATCCGCACCGAGGGCAAACCTGCAATCTGCCCTGCCCGGCCCGGAGTCGGGTCGGAACCCAAACGGCTCCAGCCCTCGCCATGGACAGGCCGTGCCGTTTCCGCGGGGGAAGCTGGCGACGCCAGGGCCTCCCGTCGCGACTCTGCTCGTGACGCGAGGGGGTCTGGGCTGGCCGCCCCCGACGCATCGCATCGCCAGAATCACGCTGCCCCCCCCCCCCCCGGAGGAGGAGGAGGAGGAGGAGGAGGAGGAGGAGGAGGAGGAGGAGGAGGCA